CCTTATCAATGTTTACATAACTTTTGACTCTAACTATAATCCAAGCGCCACCTATTATTATTATCAAACGATAATCGAGTCTCAAATAAATCCATAAATTTGACATCTGTCAATTTGACATTTGTCAATTTGACGTTAGCAGTGACAACGCAATGTGTAGTCAAACAAAAATGGATGCTTACAGCAACAGCTGATCATATGACACTTGTCAAAAACATGATGAAACTCGATTGTTTCAAATAACAATAAAGAAAGAAGTTAGTAAATTTGAGAATTATTGAAATGATGTCATAATTAAATACGATGATTTAATATGAATTTCACGCATATTGCTCATACACTTTAACCGCATTTTTCCGCTGAAATTTTCAGTTCTTGTTTATATAATTCTTACAAAACGTTTACACATTGGTTTTGTTTTTTTATATTTACATAACCAATACGCATTTTCGTCGATACAGTCTAAACGTTAGAAACAAACAAAGTGTAACCATGGAAACAATTTGTTGATTAGTCTTAATCATTGGGCAAAACATAGATTGCGGTGAATCCCACAATTTTGGTATGACTTTCGAAAACATGTGAAAAAAAAATTACACTACACTATCGACTGTTATCAATTGTTTCATTGATAAATCGCGATGACGTCTCGTTCTCGGAATTCATCTCCGATATTTTTCCCAAGCGAATTTCGCAACATAAACAAAAAACATATTTTTTTTTTATATAAATAAAACAAAATAATAATTGCGAAGAAAAGAAACTTTTGTCTGCGAAAGAATTTAAATTTAATGGAACGGAAAAGTTCTTTGGGAAATTACCAATGATTTTGTTTTTGGGGAATTCATAAAATTAACTTAAGACTCTGCTTTGGGGAATTTTCGTGCATTAACGAATATTTTTTTTTTTGGGAATTCTAATGATAATAATCGAAAATGAATTTTGGAATTTTTTGCAAATTGAATCACAATATTCTTTGGAAATTTATATCTTTGTGGAAAACATCTAAATTTCAACGATAAAAACGTAATACGTGAGTGTTAAAAGGCAATTGATCTTTGTGATGATGATGATGATGAAGTTTGAATTTCCTTTTACGTTTATGCATTTGAAGTCACGTTTGTTAATAAGGAAAAACCCCAATGAGCGCGTTACTACCTGCTGGTGGGCGTTCGTTTTTTCTTTATTGCTTCACGATGCGTTTATCCTTCTTATTTCATCGTTCTAGAAGTAATGTAATTGAAAATAGATTTCAACGAATTGACATATGTCAATTTGACGTTAGCGATACCATTAACAATATGGACGCTTGTATCAACAGCTGATCTTGACGCATTTGACGTTAGTGATACCAACTGAATTTATATTGTCGCATCTGAATATTAAAGAACAAAATGGACGCTTGCATCAACAGCTGATCTTGACACTAATTGCGTAGAATGAAAGATGTTAGTTGCGAAAACGATTAGAGAGAATAAAAAAATAATTATTAATTGAAAATAACGCACTTTAACTTCTTTTTTGCTTCAATTGTAAAACATCTGTTGTTTTCATTTGACTTCTATCATTAAAACAAGAGTCCAATAATGGCGGAGTCCTGATGGCTTCTAAATTGGAATCTTAACCCTAAACCAATTTGCAAACGTCAATTTGACGTATGTCAAATGTAATATATTATTGATAATAACATAATTGTTATTGCATCAATTAAGCATCAATATCGCATGCAAATCGAAATCGCTTAAGGTTCGAAGGTCATTATCGAACATGTACATAATTTTTGAATAGATTGTTAATTTTGGAATTTTTTGCAAATCGTTTATCCTTCTTATTTCATCGTTCTAGAAGTAATGTAATTGAAAAGTAAGTAAAGTAATAGATTTCAACAACTTGACATATGTCAATTTGACGTTAGCGATACCATCTGAATATTAACAATATGGACGCTTGTATCAACAGCTGATCTTGACACTAATTGTGCTAAACTGCGAAAACAATTAGAGAGAATAAAAAAATAATTATTAATTGAAAATAACGCACTTTAACTTCTTTTTTGCTTCAATTGCAAAACGTCTGTTGTTTCCATATGAGTTCTATCAAATGTGCATCATAATAACAAGAGTCCAATAATGGCGGAGTCCAAAATGACTTCTTAACCAATTTGACATACGTCAATTTGACGTGTGTCAAATGTAATATATTATTGATAATCATATAATTGCATGCAAATCGAAATCGCTCAAGGTTCGAAGGTCATTATCGAACATGTACATAATTTTTGAATAGATTGTTAATTTTGGAATTTTTTGCAAATCGTTTATCCTTCTTATTTCATTATTCTTGAAGTAATGCAATTGAAAAGTAAGTAATAAATAATAAAAATAAATTTCAACGAATTGACATATGTCAATTTGACGTTAGCGATACCAACTGAATATTAACAATATGGACGCTTGCATCAACAGCTGATCTTGACACTAATTGCGTAGATTGAAAAATGTTAGTTGCGAAAACGATTAGAGAGAATAAAAAAATAATTATTATTTGAAAATAACGCACTTTAACTTCTTTTTTGCGTCAATTGCAAAGCATCTGTTGTTTCCATTCTGACTTCTATCAAATGTACATCATAATAACAAGGAACAATTGGAATCTTAACCCTTAACCAATTTACAAACGTCAATTTGACGTGTGTCAAATGTAATAAATTATTGATAATCATATAATTGCATGCAAATCGAAATCACTCAAGATTCGAAGATCATTATCATAATATTTATATTGAGTTTTGTGATTTGCGATTTTAGATTCAGTAGAAAATGCGTGCGGTTAAAAAACCAATGGTTTTATTGAAATGTAATAGAAAGTGTGTGTATGTGTGTTTTAGTATGTAGTATGCACGGATATAATAGTGAACGGTTGAGTAACGAAGCTGACTGAGTGCGCATGTCTGGGGATTCCCCAGTCTACGAAACGAAACGAAACGACGGTTCTCGGTTTTTATATCTTCAGTTGCCCGAGATATCGAGTCGAAGTGTGCAGCGAAACGCGAGAGAAACGAGAAACGAAACGCCGAAGAGAGAAAAAAAAACAGAAATACATCCGAATCATTCTGTGTGCGTGCGTGTGTATATATTATATAAATACGTGTGCAACAATCGCTCGATTAAGTAGTAACAATTTTTTTTTTCGTTGTTGTTGTTGTTAGTGCATGAATCGTGTGCTGATGTGTTGTAGAAGGAGGCAATGATGCAACTGATGAAAGAGAGAATCGGTCAGCTGAGAATATAGTTTCGAGGATCTATCGAAATCACACACTAAATATATTTATATATATATATAGAAAGTAAAAAGAGATTAAGGAACTGAAGAACGTTGAGGAAAAAAAAAATTGTTCACGTTTGCTGGTGTTGTATAGTTTTTGAAAAGAAGGAGCGCGCGTTCTCTTTTTCTTGCTGTTTTAGCAATTTATACGAACGATCGTCGTTTGTTTGCGCGCACACGCGAAGAGTAGGCTGTTTGAATTTCAAAACCACAAAAATCAGATCGCAGTAGTCGTTGTTGTTTTGTTCGGAAGAGCAAGTGACAGAAGAGTCAACAAAACAAAAAACAAAAGTTAACTGTCATATTTAACTGATCCGGAATGTCGGGGCCAATTTCAGACACGCAGAAACTGACGTCGTCGTCGGAGGACGAGAAGTACCTGGAGTCGTCACGTACAGACAGCGGTTTCCTGTCTTCGGGCAACCTGCTGCTCTCATCCAGTGAAATCATCGTCGATACGCCGTCTACGTCTCACCATCATCATCACCACAGCCATCAACAGCAGCATCATCATCAGATCCAGGATCAGCAGGATTCTGGACTGATAACGGACGTCGACGAGGATTACGACCATCATCAACAGCAGGAACCGCAGAAACAGCAGGAAGTCTTGATGCGTTTGGACAGCGGCATCGACACGTGCACCACGCAGTTATCCAGTCTCAAATTGAAAAACCAATTTCTGAACGACCTCAGCAGCTGCAACAAAACCAACACAACAACATCAACCTGCACAGACGACAAGAAGAGGATCAACGCGGAAACAATATCCTGGGAAAAATTGTACCAGCAGGACGAAGAAGGCGACACGTAAGTCCTTTGAATATTTTAAAGAAAACAAGACGAAATTTGTAGAAACTTTCTAATTATTCTCGCAATTGTTCTCCGTCGGTCATTAATTGCCGCAATTATTCCTCATTTCTACTCATTCGTATTTTGTATTAAAAAACAAACTGGTTCTCTCGCACAATTTCTTTACATAACTTTGACATTCGTGTCAATGCGTTTACGTAACCTCAATTAGTTTGTTAGCTCTGTTTTTAAATTTTCTTACGTTTTTCTGACGTTTCTCAAATTATTCAATTGTTTATTCCTTTTGACAATCCGCTTAAACGTCAGATTTGATTGAAATCTGTCAATGTGACATTTCTCATAACCTTTTTCAATTCGAAGATATTCGTTGATTGCAATGACACAATTCTAACGTCAATGCGTTTACGTAACCTCAATTAGTTTGTTAGCTCTGTTTTTAAATTTTCTTACGTTTTTCTGTCGTTTCTCAAATTATTCAATCGTTTATTCCTTTTGACAATCCGCTTAAACGTCAGATTTGATTGAAATCTGTCAATGTGACATTTCTCATAACCTTTTTCAATTCGAAGATATTCGTTGATTGCAATGACACAATTCTATTGCACTTCGTTAAAAACGTCAATGCGTTTACGTAACCTCAATTAGTTTGTTAGTTTTATTTTGTTGCATACGTGGACTGGAATTGCGTAACTCTGTTTTTAAATTATCTTACGTTTTTCTGACGTTTCTCAAATTATTCAATCGTTTATTCCTTTTGACAATCCGCTTAAACGTCAGATTTAATTGAAATCTGTCAATGTGACATTTCTCATAACCTTTTTCAATTCGAAGATATTCGTCGATTGCAATGTCACAATTCTATTGCACTTCGTTAAAAACGTCAATGCGTTTACGTAACCTCAATTAGTTTGTTAGTTTTATTTTGTTGCATACGTGGACTGGAATTGCGTAACTCTGTTTTTAAATTATCTTACGTTTTTCTGACGTTTCTCAAATTATTCAATTGTTTATTCCTTTTGACAATCCGCTTAAACGTCAGATTTGATTGAAATCTGTCAATGTGACATTTCTCATAACCTTTTTCAATTTGAAGATATTCGTTGATCCTAATGACACAATTCTATTGCAGTTCGTTAAAAACGAAATACAATTGGCACAGATGGTCGGTCTGCAAATTGCGCCGCTGGAAAAACCGGATGAATAATGGGAATACCGAACTTTCCAACATAATGTTTACAATGTTTTATCTATCTCTCATGGAAAAGTAACGGGCGTTTTTCAAAGTTTCGATCGATACTTTAACCTATTTTTTGTTTTATTGTTTGTTCTTGTTTCTGTTTGTTATTCGGTAAAATTGGAAAATTTCCCAACCCTCGCAAAAAACAGTAAAGTACGACGAAAAGTAAAAGTAGAAATTCCGAAACGTAAAGAGGAATTCCCCAACAAAAAAAAAACAAATTAAATACGTAACGAAATATGTGAAACGAATCAACAAATTCAAAACGTCAAATTTAACTGTGAACGTCAAATTGAACTGTCAACGTCAAATCGATTACGTCAAGTGGGTCAGATTTTTGTTTTTTTTTCTAAATTTAAAATGAGATTTAACTCTTCTTGTGCATAAGACAAACACTCACACATATTTTATTCGAGACTTGAGAATAGAATCGCCTAAAAATCGATTTAAGGCAGTGGAAAATAAACTAAATACGTAACGAAATATGTGAAATGAATCAACAAATTCAAAACGTCAAATTTAACTGTGAACGTCAAATTGAACTGTCAACGTCAAATCGATTACGTCAAGTGGGTCAGTTTTTTTTTCTGTTTTTTTTTTCTAAATTTAAAATGAGATTAAACTGTTCTTGTGCTTAAGACAAATACTCACACATATTTTATTCGAGACTCGAGAATAGAATCGCCTAAAAATAGGTGCGAAAATCGATTTAAGGCAGTGGAAATAGACGTGACTAAAGGAGGAGCGAGAGAGGAGGTGTGTGCATGTGTACATAACACACACACATGACGGAACTCCGCTCGAATCTCTCGGCTATTTTAATTCATTCTTCGCGTTTATTTTTACCTCTGCGGCTTTAAATTTAAAAGAGCGAAAAATGACAACAATGTGTAAACAAAATGTAGATTAGTCATGGTTTGTGTCATTGTCAAATAATTTGACAGTGACAGTTGGGATGAATGAATGCGAAAAGAAAAAATGATTCTTGCAAGTCGGTAGAATCGACTTAGCAACAGGCCAATATTCCCGATGATTTGTTGGCTTCACGTGTGCAACAAATGAACCGGAACGCTCGAATTTCGATATGTGTCAGTTTTGATTCCACTGACATCACCGAATGATTGCACACATATTTTTCCTTTCGTTTCAATTAAAATTTATGATTTATTTCAGTTCTGAAGAAGGAAGTGAAATAACATCGAATCGGTTTCGATTATCGATAACAAACAACGTAATAATAACGTGACTCGAATTGTGTCAACGTGAAGAACATCTCAATAATGCACTTGTTTTTTTTTTGTTTTTTTCTTCTCCTTTCATTTGTTATTGCCGTTGTTGTTTGTTGCCTTCTCTTCGATTCGGTATTTGAATACCAATAGTTAAACAAACTTAGTCACATTCAACGATCGTTTCTAGTTAACAATGCGGACACACAATTATTTGATAAACGTCAAAGTCACATTTACAATTACGATACTTGTCACGGTGATGATGATTAGGGTTATGGTACATGTCAAAGCGACGATTAGGGTTATGATAGTTGTCAAAGTGACATTTACAATTACGATACTTGTCACGGTGATGATGATTAGGGTTATGGTTCATGTCAAAGCGATGATTAGGGTTATGATAGTTGTCAAAATGATATTTACAATTACGATACTTGTCACGGTGATGATGATTAGGGTTATGGTACATGTCAAAGCGATGATTAGGGTTATGATAGTTGTCAAAGTGACATTTACATTTACGATACTTGTCAAGGTGATGATGATGAAGATGATTAAGGTTATGATAGTTGTCAAAGTGACATTTACGATACTTGTCAAGTTGTTGATGATGATGATTACGGTTATGGTAGTTGTCAAAGTGACATTTAGGGGAGAAACAAAACGTTTCGTTATGAAAATTAGTTGCGGTGATGACGTTGATGAATTTAATTGCGCGTTTGGCTTCTGGTAATTGGAATCTTTTCCAGTTAGAAACATCCGTTTGTGGATTGGAGGAGTGAGTGTAGTCGCGAAAAAACCCAAAGTGTGGGATTTCAACATATTTATAATGATTATCATCGGTTTTGCTATTCTTTATTTTTCGTAATTGTGTCTCCGTCTCTCTCTCTCTCACACACACTTTTCGGTTCCTTCTCCGCGTATTATAATAAACATATATTGTAGAATGTTGTGCGTTGCTAAAGAGAGAGACAGACACGAGTTTTCGGTTTTTCGGACTGGAATTCCCTGGTCCGGCGAAATTTCCGTCTGCGCAACAAGAAACAGAGAAAGAGAACGAACGAGCGAACGGCGGAACGACGGTTACATCATCATCATCCATTTGCTCGGTCGGGCTTTTGACCTTACTTACACCACAAACGCCAATAGAGAAATCTGTTTGCTCTCCTGCAACGACCGAGAGAAGTTCTACTTCCCTACGTACCATTTCTTTAAATACAATTACTTTCAATGCGTTAATCTTAACCTCGAATACACGAGATTCCTTATTTTGTTTTACTTGTTTCGGAAAGTCCTCCAAGGATGATCTGAAAAGCTTTTACTATCTACTTATTTTCGAGACAATTCTCAACGTAATTGATTATTCAACAGCAACATCAATCATTCCTGCATTGTTGACCTGTCAAATTGTCGATTGTCAATGATGGAACGAAACTATTAGCATAACCTCATTGATTTGACATCTGTCAGATGATCAGAAGAAACGTCAAAGCAAATGAAGCTTCGGACGCGACCTTGAATCGATCGATCGATCGAAGTACACACGATCAACAGGTTGTCAATTGTTGGAACGAACGTAAATTGATTATGCAAACGATATTAAATTAATCGATAAAACTCGCGAGTGCAAAATTGCGCTGCGACACTTGTATAACACACACACATATATAAATAACCTTGATCAGAAACGTCATCAATTTGACATGTGTCAACAACGGTAAATGTCAATAATATTTGTTGTGTGGTTGTTTTAACGTAGACGAGAGAGAGAGAGAAAGAAATGTAACCTTGAATCAACAGGTAGTCAAAATTCAGTCTTGTGATTTATGGCATAATTTTTGTTCTTTCGCGTCATTCGCAGATTATTTTTTTTTTTTGGGAATTCCAGCAAGAAAGTTCCGTTTTGTTTGTACGTCCCATTAATTTCGTACATCTCCGTATTCGTTTATTTCAATTGTTTTGTTTTCATGGTTACCGTTGTTGTTGGTTATTGTTTTGTAATTTTGAAAATTGTGCGTTTCGGATGTGGGAGGTACTTTTAATCGCGTACCGGACGTGACGTCATGCAACGCATCGCTTTTGTTCTATTGAGAGGAGGACAAAGTAGGAGTTCAATTGTTATGCGGAGGAGGATCGGTTCAATGGAACTCATCTCTCTCACTCACTCTCACTCATTGCGCGTTTCATTCATACCAAGGAAAACTTGATAGAGAAACAGATGGGAAAAAAAAAGAAGGAGAACAAAGGAAACTTCTTTGAATTTCAAATCGTTCGCATCTCATCACATCGCATTCTCCTGTTGTCTCAAAAATTCCGAGCGTTTCGTTTCGTTTTGAATTGTTTCATCTGAATCCTTGCGAAAACAACTTTCGTTTCGCGTTGGAAATCATGCGATCGTGTTTCTCTCGCTCCTTTTTTTTTCTCTCTCTTAAAGTTTTTACTGTTATCTAAAGCTTACTACATGACGTTATATTTATTTTTGAGATTAACTGCTCAGATTCATCACAACCATTGTTCTTTGCATCGGCGATTATCTAATAACATACAATTACAGACAAACATAGAGAGATTAGTGTTAATTAAATGTTGGCAACAATGAGATTCTCAATTTCTCAAGAGAAAGCGAAAGTTTTGTTATATGTCACTTTTGACAGTATAGTTTGAAGTTTGTCAACTGTCACTTTTGACAGTTATAATTGTCATTGTTTGATGTATTTTTTTTTGTTTGTTTGTATTGCAGGCATCTTCACAACGCAATCCTGAAGGGTGTCCTGGATCAGGCGCTGGCGGTGATAAGGGTGGCGCCGCACCCTTTCCTGCTGGACACGCTCAACGATGACGCTCAGTCGCCGCTGCATCTGGCTGTCGCGACCGGACAGTGGAAGATCGCCCGATGGTTGATCGTCGCAGGGGCGCGTCCCTCGCCGCGAAACATCTGCGGGGATTCCCCGTTGCACCTGGCTGCGCGCAACGGCGACCTCGACTGCTGCAGAGCCATCACCGATCCCGTTCAGCAGCAGGAACGAGATCTGCTCGGTCTCCGATACCCGCCGAGCCCTTACCAGTACTGCGAGTTCGATCAATGGAATTACGATGGTAAGTCAACAACATCAACAACAACAAAATGTCTCTTCTGTCAAATTTGACACAGATAATCAAAATGGTTGTCATCGATGCCATATGTTTGATAAACGTCAGAAGTTTTTAACCTAACACGTTATATAATTTGACAATTAGATGTAAACAGCAGCTGATTATAATTACAAGTTTTTATCTATTATCAAATTTGATAGTAGAAAAGGCTTTGAAAATCAAAATTGTTGTCATAAAAGTCAAATGTAATTATCATAACCCTATGTATGACATTATTTTGATAAACTTCAGAAGTTTTTTTTATACAATTTGACAATTAGATGTCAACATCAGCTGATCAATGCTTAGTATCTTTTACAAAATTTGATAGTAGAATCAAAATGGTTGTCATAAACGTCAGAAATATTTTAACCTAAACATTATATAATTTGACAATTAGATGTCAACACCAGATGATTATAATTACAAGTTTAAAGATTATTCAATTCTTAGAATTTATTATAAAATTTGATTGTAGAAAAGGCTTTGAAAATCAAAATTGTTGTTATAAACGTCAAATGTAATTATCATAACCCTATGTATGACATTATTTTGATAAACTTCGGAAGTTTTTTTTATACAATTTGACAATTAGATGTCAACATCAGCTGATCAATTCTTAGTATCTTTTACCAAATTTGATAGTAGAATCAAAATGGTTGTCATAAACGTCAAATGTAATTATCATAACCCTACATATGACATAATTTTGATAAACGTCACAAATATTTTAACCTAAACATTATATAATTTGACAATTAGATGTCAACACCAGATGATTATAATTACAAGTTTAAAGATTAATCAATTCTTAGTATCATTTACCAAATTTGATGGCAGAATCAAAATGGTTGTTATAAACGTCAAATGTAATTATCATAACCCTACATATGATATAATTTTGATAAACATCAGAAGTTTTTTACATAATTTGACAATTAGATGTCAACATCAGCTGATTATAATTACACGTTTAAAGATTAATCAATTCTTAGTATCTTTTACAAAATTTGATAGTAGAATCAAAATGGTTGTCATAAACGTCAAATGTTAATATCATAACTCTACATATGACATAATTTTGATAAACATCAGAAATATTTTAACCTAACACGTTATATAATTTGACAATTAGATGTCAACAGCAGCTGATTATAGTTACAAGTTTAAAGATTAGTCAATTCTTAGTATCTATTATTAAATTTGATAGTAGAATAGGCTTTGAAAATCAAAATTGTTGTCATAAACGTCAAATGTAATTATCATAACCCTATGTATGACATTATTTTGATAAACATCAGTAGTTTTTTTTATATAATTTGACAATAAGATGTCAACATCAGCTGATTATAATTACAAGTTTAAATATTAATCAATTCTTAGTATCTTTTACCAAATTTGATAGTAGAATCAAAATGGTTGTCATAAACGTCAGATGTAATTATCATAACCCTACGTATGACATAATTTTGATATACATCAGAAGTTTTTTATATAATTTGACAAATAGATGTCAAAACCAGCTGATTATAATTACAAGTTTAAAGATTAATCAATTCTTAGTACTTATTATAAAATTTGATAGTAGAATAGGCTTTGAAAATCAAAATTGTTGTCATAAACGTCAAATGTAATTATCATAACCCTACATATGACATAATTTTGATAAACGTCAGAAATATTTTAACCTAACACGTTATATAATTTGAAAATTAGATGTCAACACCAGCTCATTATAATTACAAGTTTAAAGATTATTTAATTCTTAGTATCTATTATCAAATTTGATTCTAAATGGTTATCATAAACGTCAAATGTAATTATCATAACTCCACATGTGACATAATTTTGATAAACGTCAGAAATATTTAACCTAACATTATATAAATTGACAATTGGTATTGACATTTGAATTACAATTCGTAGTATCTATTACCAGGACGTTACAGTTTATGACGGTTTGCAATTGTTGTCCAACAGATGGCGTCTGCAAATTGCAATCACTAATTGACAATTATTACGTTTGTAGTAATGGAAAAAGTAATGCTAATTGAAATTGTTTAATAATTTACAAGTGAATTGTAAAGTAAAACTTGTGAATCGCGATTTACACACATGTTACGTAACAGTCTTACTATTACTACTACTCCTTCTTCTCGAAACTGAGAGGTCAACGGAACTTTGAAAGGGCCGCCGAGGAACGGGTTTTCCCCGACCCGTGTCCAGATGAGCGTTATTCAAGTTTTTTTAGCCATTTACGCCGGCCCTCTCTGTCTTTTTCTCAGGATCGAGCCTTAAAAGGTGCCGCGAGCGCCGCAGAGAAAAAAAATATATATATATGTTTTATCATATATGTGTATACGGGAACGCATGTTGGCAGCGTATTTTTAGAGTGGCAGCCGTGACTTACTATATATTATATTATTATACACGCCGATCCGCTTTTCTGTTCGACTGAGGGAAAAACCCAACTGATTATTTATTTTTTTCCTTCTTCTTCTTCTTCTGTCCCTCCGGTTTTCTTGGACCTCTTTGATGAAGATCGTTCATCTTCTCTTTCTGTTTTTTCGTGTGTTTTTCGTTTATTTCAACAAAAAATAAAAGAAAAAGCAGCAAATTGCATATGGGTATTTTTAGTGTTTCGAATGAGGAGAAGAGAGTTTGAGATGCGGAATTCAGCGAGACGAACTCGCGCAACAGCGCGCACAGAGTCTGCCAGACCCGTCTGGTTTTTCCCCGGCAACATTCCACCGGTTTATTAAGGGACTGCAACTGGCCGCAAATAGATACGTTCTCCGGGGAAAAAAGAAAAAAAATCTTCGGTCTTTGTATTTATATAAAGATACGCCGACGGGACAGAGAATAAACAACAAGCAACGTCGATCGCATATCATCCAGAAACAAATGATAGACGTTGTTTGTTGTTGTTTTTTTTTTGGGACAATTCCGCCGCCATTTGGAAATATTCTAAGCGTTCTTGTTGCCACGTTCTTATTATGTGTGTGTGTGTTAAAAGGCCGCTGGAAATTCCAGCGACAAATCTAAATATTCATCGACTTCCGCCGATTCGCGAGCAGCGGTCGAAGGGCAAATAGCGTCACGCGCGACGTCTGCACGCAACTCTACGTCAAAGTGACAGTTCAGACTTTTTAAACGTCAAATCAATTAACACGTTACGTAACCATGGTTATGCAAAGTGTCAAATTTGACGTATTAAGTTTTAAGGTTAAATAATTTTGACGTTTTGTATTCGTTTTCATTGGCGACTTTCTATATAAACTTTTGAGAAACAAAAGAAAATTATTCATTCGCTTTTGTGAAGATGTGCATTTGAAATTCCATTCGCATCAGCAGAAGAAAGAAAATAAAACGATTAATTGGTGAATAAAGATGTTTTTTTTGTTGAAATTCTTTCGTTTATTAAAAGGATTGATGCGATGAAGCAGATGGACGGGTTTCTTCTTTTTTTTTGTTTGTTTGTTATGTAAATTTGATTTATTTTGTTGGTATCGTTTAGCGGGTATTAATTAGCGCGTGCATCATGTGATTTAAAATGCAGGGGGAAATCCGAAACCGGCGCCGTTTTTGTTTATTTTTTTTCTCTGTTTCGTCTTCATCATCATCTTCTCGAGTGTTATTATCGTTATTCGCTTGTTTTTTTTTTCTCGATCGATCGGTCTGCGGTAGCTGTTTTTTTTTTCTTTATTATTCAAAAGAAATTATCGCATCTCTTTTAAAGAAAGAAGCAAAAAATTGTTGTTCATCATCGATAAAAATATCATATGTACGTAACGAGAGTTCGGATTGATGTGAGAGAACTTATTGGAAAATACGATGATTTCTACGGATTTCTGCGTAAATTATTCTGTGCTTCATACGCTTTTTTCCAATATAATTAAACCATTCGCAATTAGAAAACTTGATGAGTCTTAGTTAAGGTTTTTCATCGCTTTTACTTCAATTCTTTGACGTTTCTCAATTGACAAGTGACGTTTCTTAAATTGACATTACTTTATGTTAACCGATTTGAAAAAAAAAAACAAAAAATGTGAAGTTTCTAAATTTGACGTTTCTTAAAATTGACACATAACGATAACCTCACTAAAACTGACGTTTTTCAAACTATAGCCAACAAAATTACGGTAAATGACAGCTGGTGACCTTTGACTTATTTGTCAAGTAAACGAAAAACGATAGAATTTTAAACATTTCTTCTTGTTTTTTTTTTTAAATTTTATTTGTCGAAACAATTGCAATGGTTTCGTTTAAGTAATTTAAATCTCGTTTAAGTTTGATTTTTTCACTTTTTTTCCCACATGCATTGTGTATTGTAAAAAAAAAAAAAACATAATAAGCAGCGTGTCCTTCCTACGCTTCGAACGACGTTTATACAAAGAGATGATCGTAGAATGCTCAAATCAAATATTTGTTCAATAGTTTTTTTTTTTCGTCGCACTTTCTCGTTTTCTCTCCTTCATTCCGCACGCAATTTTAAGCGCCGCGCGTGGGCGACACCTGTACCCGGAATCCGGAAGCTCTTTTCGTCTTTCTTTCTGTGTTTCATTCGTTCATTCATCACGAAACGTTTGTTTTTCTAATTAAAACTTAAGCAAAAATTTAGAAAAAAAAAAACTGTAGCTGTATATGAAGAACCGCACTAAGTTCGGTTCATTGTTTGCACAAACCGCGAATGTTTGCGCAAAAATATATAGAGAGAGATGTGTGTGTACTTTAGTAACTTGATGTATGCAAACGCGCGTGTATTCCGCGGCTGCACGGCATTCGGGGATTCCCGATTCGCGTTGTCATCGGATTTTTCGTCTCTCAACGCCAACGTACGTGACTCAAAATGAGAATTAGCGAATGGAATTGAACAAAAAAAGAAGAAGAAATAATCAAATCAAATACAGCGTAATAATCGAGCTGTTGCTATGGAGATAATGGAGTCTAAACAAGTTTGCTACAACTGTCAACTATTTGACAAGTTTATATTTAGTAAACTGTCATATTTGACAGTTTAGTAAGCTGTCAAATTTGACA